CTACTGCCCCTATGAAGTTAAGGTGAGTTTAAGGGGTTGGAAACACAACTCCCTCTGTCCTAAAAGATTTACAGTCCTGGCCCTTTAAAATTCTTCTTGTGCTGCCAAGAAATGTCTGTCAATTTTCTGGTTCACAAGCAAAGAACAACTTAGACTGTAATCTCTTTGGGCCAGGGACTGTCTTCTTGTTCTGTATCTGTACTGTGTCTAGCACAATAGGGAGTTGGTCCATGACTAGCATGGTAATACTGATAATAACATTACTGATTAAAGGAGGAAGTCATGACATTAGCTGTCTGCAGCAATTTGCTCTTTTGAGGGTAGAGGACAAGGAGAGCTCACAGTAGGTCTCTTCACAGTAGGTCTCTCTTCAGAAATAGCTGCAAATGCATAAGGAACTGCAAGTGCGTTAGTCCTTTTTCCTGTGTCCAGTCCAGCTATCTGCTGTTCCCAAAATTTGGCATGGCATCCTGACAGTTGGTCCTGAATGCTGGCTGCATTTGGCCCCGAATCATTAATTCTGCCCTATGTTCTCAGTTCCAGCTATGGAATTACACTAGTCCCTGAATGCTGGCTGCTGCTTATAATCTTAGTTCTTTAATCGTTCTTGTTGCTCCTACAACTAGCTTCTTATTCCTGATAGTGTTGATCTTATGGCTAAATTGATGTACATTTATGGATATGGGAGTCTTGCAGTTAACTTCAACTAGATCATGATTTGGTCCTCCCTCCTTCCTAATCATCCTTTGCTTCTGGTTCTGTGTCCTTAGCTGTGTATAACCTGATCTTTATCTCCAAATGTTGCTCTTGATCCTGTGCATTAATTTTGGGAGATTGTACCTTGCTTAGGACTTTATTCTTGAATTTTAGTAAAGTGCAATGTATTTATAAACTGGAATGTGCACGTGCTTTGTGAAGGTCACATAAAGGTTCCACCACTCTCATTGGACCACCCAACAGATAGTGCTTTTAGCTGAGCAATGACACAATAGTTTGACTGTTCTGTGTGTGCCTGAGTATGCACAACACGTCCATGCTGGCCCCAAACAAAAGAAAAACAACATTTCTTCCATTTTTTTCTCTCTGCTTCAGAAGTGATTCAGTCTTTCAGCATGTCCCTTACATATCGGGTTGCCTGGCTATTTTAATAGTAGCTCTGGCAGCACTAGTGAACTGTATGGAATGAAACTTCAAAACTAAATAATGTTGTAAATGCCATGAGAAACAATGTATCTGCTGTAAAAAGAAAAGAAATGTTGTCATTATGTGGTTTATTTAGGGCTAGCTAATTTAAATAATTTTCAGAGCATTTACATAATATGCCTGCTTTCATTTCCCCAGTTATACTTTAGTATTTTCATTAACACTATGTTAGAAAGATACAATGTATTTGAATTGAATAGTAAGATATAATTCAAGGGTACATCTATACAGCAGCATTATTTTAAAATAATGTCGAGCTGGAGGACTTCTTACTCCCTCTTATGGTAACCCTCTTTTCATGAGGAGCAAGGGAAGTTGAAGGAAGAGTGTTCTTCCTTCAACTTCCTGCTGTGTAGACAGAGTCAAAAGCCAAAATAAGCTATTTTGACTTAAGCTACGCAATTGACGTAGCTGAAGTTGCATAGCTTAATTCGACTTTAGCGCTGCTGTGTAGACGTACCCTAAGAGAAAATAAACATTCATTTTACTACTGTGTATGGCAACAACAGAACAGCTTGTTTATTAGTGTCCAGTGCAAGTACAGTAGAATCAGCCAGTATCTTGAATAGAAAAGTGGCAAGTGAATTACATAATATTTGACTGCTTAAACATATCAAAGCAAAAATTTCAATTGTGTATCATTTTTGTAATTACAAAAGTCATCTTTAGACATATGTATCAATTTTGGTATGATCTTTAATGTTTCCAAGTAAGCTAAAATTATGCTGTCCTGAAAACATTTTTAATGTAGTCACCCCGCTTCCTGGATTTCAGAATACACTAATATTTATTTTTATACTACTAAATTCAGAGTCTAAATATATATAATTTTACTTGATTTGGGGTTTTTTGAACATTATTACAAAAGCTAAAAGGGTAACTTCAAATAATGTCAACCCCAAGTATTCAAAAGTCAGAAGTCAGCACCCGCCCTCCATCATAAGATTAGCTAAAAACCTGAATTTTTTTAAACTCAGGTTTTTTTTAGTTCTTTTTATTTGCCTTCTGATTTTTTTGAAGCACTTAAGGCACGGCATTTTCAAGCTTTTCCCCTTCCCTGAACATAAGGGCTAGAAATTTACATGAAAGTAGAGATTCTCACAAGTTGATCCAGGAGCTGAGGCTTCTAAAAAAAACACCTACTCTTATGAGAATCTCAATAAATCTGTGAAAGTTGGCAACTCCTATTTCAGTGATACTTTACCTGGAGGATGAAACATATAGTTCCAAAGAGTCCCTGGCCATAGTGCTGTTGCTTCTTCTTTCACAGAAAAGGACTAGAGACGATCAGTCACTATGCTCCTTCTGAAGGCCCTGCTTCCTTTCAGAGCTGCCTACTGAACCGGTCAGGTGCAGTGGGGTAAGAAGCTTGCATGACTTAAGCATAATGCTTCCCTCAGCTCCATTGCACTGATGTGATTTCATACTACTTCCATTGTATAGATGTGGTTCAGTGCTACAGGTTGGAACTCGCTGGTCCTTGGGACCTGAGCTGTCTGGAACTAAGGAATTTGCTGGACCAGGAGAGGATAATGCTCTCCTGTTGGCTGCTCCGCACCTGAGCTCCTCTCCCTTGGGCTTCCTGCCTTGCTGTTGGCCCTGCTAATGCTGGCCTACCACGGGCTCCCCATCCTGGTGCCCGCACACTGCACCAAGGTCTCCTGGAATTCCCAGCCAGGACAGCCTGGCCACTGCCACACAGTGTTCCCCGGGGTTCCCGGGGGGGGGCCATCCAGCCACTGCCAGCTCTGCTGCTGCCAGGGGTTCCATGGCCAGGATCCCCCAGGCACACCGCACTGCCACTAGGACTGGCCCTGCTGCCACTAGGAACTCACTGGGGTTCCCCAGCCGGGGCCGCTCACCTCTGCCTGCCCCTCTTCAGCCATGGGTTCCATGGCCAGGGGGCTGCCATCAGAGGTATCCTGGTGTTCCAAGCTGGGGCCACTGCCAGCCCTGCTGCTACGGGAGGAGGGGAAGAGGGATCCCCAGCCAGGCTGCCTGTCACCAGAAACCCTACTGCAGCTGAGGTTTCCCCAGCTGGAGCCAGGGTTCTCTGGCCGCCTGGCCCAACTGATGCCAGCGGTTTCTTAGCTGGGGCAGGAGCTCCCCTGGCCACTGCCATGGTCCAGTCACTGCTGGCCCAGATAGGGCTCTCCAGGCCATGTTCTCTCAGCTGTCTGAGACCTGCCTGACCAAAGAGTCCCAAATTCAGGAGGTTCAACCTGTATTATCTTTTCCATTGTAGAGATCCATTAAAAAAAAGAGTCTAGAGTCTTGTGTATCTTTGTAGTACACTGGTAAGGTGTTGTATGGAAAAGATTATTAAGGTTTCTATACACAATAGCCAACATTACTTTACAGATTAGATTACTTTTAGGCAAGATCCACAGTATGGGAGACAATCGACCTAATATACACATTCTAGCTACGTGAATAACATAGCTGGAGTCAACGTACCTTAGGTCAAATTTCCACTGTGTACCCACTGCAGTAGGTTGACATGAAAGTCTGGAGAAATTCTCCTATTGACCTTCCTTACTCCTTGCTACCCAGTTGAGTACTGGAGTTGATGGGGGTGCAATCAGCAGTCAATTTAGCAGGTCCTTATTAGTTCATAATATGTGTATCTTGTCTCCAGTTATAAATGAAAGGTAAAGCATATATTTCTGAATCTGTTCTTTGTGTGTGTTGCAGTCACTTTAACACTTTTATATGCCATGTTAATAAAAAGTGAAAAAGTGTTTATATCAAAGTGAAATTCTATTATGATGATGAAAAATATGTCATAAGTAGCTTAAGGAGACATTGTAAGAATGAGATAACACCTTTGAACACAATGTGCAGTAATACACAGGAGTTTCTTACATCAAATCCATTAATTCCTTCAGTCAAAGAGACCACAATTTAGAAAAAATGATATTGGGAAAGAATTTGTTATAAATACAGTGCCACAAACCTAAAGATCCTAGTGTAAATGTCTAAATGGACACATTTTCTTTACTCATATTTGAGCTTTAGTGACTCCACAATTGAAATTTTTAAATCTTTGGCTAAACCTTAAATCAGTGGTCCCCAATGTGGTGCCCGCAGTCGCCATGGTGCCTGCCGGGCCATTTCAGTGTGCCCGCCAAGTGATCGAGGCTCGCCCCGTCCCCGGGTGCACGGAGCATGGGCGGCGCCGGCCACTGGGTGCGCGGCGCATAGGTGGCCCCCCCAACTGGATGTGCAGCACAGGGGCGGCACCGGCCCCTGGTGCGCAGTGCATGAGCGGCCCCGCTCCATGGCGCATGGCACAGGTGCAGTGCCAGCCCCGGGTGCACGGCACAGGAGCAGCACCGGGATGTGCCCACCCCGGGTGCGTGACATATGGGCAGCCTCCTCTGCCGGCCCCATGTGCGCTGCACATGGGTGCTGCCAGCTCCTGGGCGCGTGGTGTAGGAGCGGCGCCGGCCCCAGGCACACGGCGTATGGACGGCCCCGCTCCTGGGCGCACAGCGCAGGAGTGCCACCGGCTCCAGATGTGCAGTGCATGGGTGGCCCTGCCCCCAAGCATGTGAGCGACCCCGCCCTTGGGTGCCCAGTGCGTGAGCAGACCTGACCCCAGGCGCCTGGCAACCCCAAAAGGTTGGGGACTACTGCCTTACATGCTTGGCAGTTGCAAAATTATAATAAACAAAGTAATGTGCTATATATTTTATTTAACAATGGCGATCAACTTTGCTGCAGTTCTACAGCAGTTGTTAAAATGTGACTAATCCAAAGGTAATAAATAATTAGAAACTATTTTCTATCTTTAGAGAAAAAGGACCAAATTTATCGCCTGTGATTTTCTGACTGAGTGGTTATACAAGTAAGTTAATCTTATTTCTAAATATTAACCATGTCCAATGATTCAGCAGCATTAATTTACAAATAGAATAACAATTGAGAATTGAGATGAATGTATGATGTTTTCCTATTAATTGTATATTTAAAAAATATATGGTGTAATTATCAGCCAGAATTTAAAGAGGAAAGATGAGCCGTTCACAGAATTCTTCTCCATCCCTTTTGTGAAGGACTGGCTAAAGGATCAGTAAGTATTCTGCAATATTTAAATAGCACTCTTTTTCTTTTTTCACATCTCCTCCTAAATTTCTCCCTTCCCCAAAACAACAGTTTAAATGTGCTTAAAATGTCCCCTCTGGAGCATTCTTCACTATTCTTGCATAATAAAGGGTCTTTGTAGTGTTTGTTTATTTGGTAGTTATATGTACCAGGATCATTTTCACAGAAAATGTTGTGGGAGTGTTAACCATTTCATTATGCTGAAGTGCAGGGTATTTCAAATTACTTGGTGGCATTATGAAAATCCTTATACTAATGAACAAATAGCCATGCTTTTAAATACTGCTTGCTAATGGGATGATTAGAAACATATTTTAGGTGCAGTAGTTTAGAAATGTGTTCCTCGAGTCTAGACTGTGAACAACTTGTTTAACAATCCCTGTGGTAACACTTGGCAGAGAGACAAATTTCATCTGTATATTATTCATGATTTTGTATCGAAGGGTACGTCTAGACTACATGCCTCTGTCGCCAGAGGCATGTAGATTAGGCTACCAGACATAGGAAAATGAAGCGGCGATTTAAATAATCGCCGCCTCATTTAAATTTACATGGCTGCCGCGCTGAGCCGACAAACAGCTGGGATAGTCTGGACGCGCGGGTGGCGACATCAAAGGTATTTGTCGACCACCCAGGTATGCCTCTGGGATGAGGAGAAGGAGCGGTCCCAGAGGCATACCTGGGTGGTCGACAAATACCTTTGATGTCGCCACCCGCGCGTCCAGACTATTAACAGCTGATCAGCTGTTTGTCGGCTCAGCGCGGCAGCCATGTAAATTTAAATGAAGCGGCGATTATTTAAATTGCCGCTTCATTTTCCTATGTCTGGTAGCCTAATCTACATGCCTCTGGCGACAGAGGCATGTAGTCTAGACGTACCCTAAGAGAAATTATTCTTTCTGTTTCTGGGGGAAAGTGTTAATTATGTCTGTCTACAGCCTTCCCCAATACTTCTCCAAACTTGTATCATAGATTTGAAGGTATCTTTTCTTCTTGGTTGCATGATTTGTCCAGCAAAGCAGCTATTGCTTGAGAAAAGAATAGGGAAGAAATAATAATTCATAATGAAAGTAAGGAAATTCTATGGGGCAGATATTCAAGAGAATTCTCATTTGAGCACCTTTGATGATGCCACATAGGGCTATACCTGTTCATCATTTGTTTTTCTGACTAATGACGAATGGTTCGGGCCGGTCCTGAGTGGGGCCATATGTGGGGAGGCATATTATATGCCCGCACAAGGCTTGCAGTTTGAGGGAGGACAAGGTCCTCCTCCCTGACAAAACTGCACCTGTGCTTATGAATCTTATTTTTGGTATAATGGGTTTCTAAATGGGTCTGTCTAAATGTTCTCAGAGTAAGAATCAAAAGGGTATGTCCAGTGAGTTTTGATGGCTATATCTTAGCTTTAATTCTATAGAGTTTGCTACAATGTCTGGACCAAAAATGTTTTTTTCTTAACCTGCAAGTGTATCTTTAATATGAGGGACATTTTCTCAGCTATAACAAGAAAAAAACATTATTTTAGAAATTTAGACATTTCCCCTTAACAGATTGCTTCTCTTTCCATGTACGTTCCATAAGTATGAAATAACAGCAATGCAGTTGCCTTTTGTTTGCATTTTTTCAACAGTGTTCCCAGCTGAACTACCCTGAAATCCAAACACAAGAAACCAAATTAAGTAAAATTCAGTGGAGTGGGGTGTCAATGATCCCACTGGAGTTTTGATTTTTAGTAGGGATCTAATTATGGCTATAACTGCTCATCATTTGTTTGTCTGGCTTTCCAGCCCTCTAAAGCAAATTAGATAAATGTGTGGAAAAAATCAGTCAGATAGATTTATAATGTAGTGCTGTAAAAAATGCTAATATGATGAGATTCTCAAGTAGTAGTAATTTAGAAATACTACACCTTCATTATAGTTTATCTTCAACATGGCCTGAGAATGAAAGGCAATAGCATGTAGTTCTGTCTGTGACTAAACCTGGGTAGTAGTGTCCTATGCCCAAGGTCAGCTCATGCCCAGGTATCTGACTGGGGTTACAAGAGCTATAAAGTTTGTGAATTAACAGTAATATGCAGAACATTGAAAGAATATGCAGTTTTGGTTTTGTTAAAATTTTATATAGTGCTATTTGCTCAATAGTAAATTCAGAAGAATGTCTGTCCCCCCCAATGGGGGACATTGACATTGCTGAAACCTATCTGTGTGTACTGAAACAAAAATAGAGAGATATGGGGGAAATAAATTATCATAGTCTTTATCATATTGAAGAGTGAAGATAAGATATACTGGAACATAAACAATTCCTCATGCAATGCTAGTTGCTTTATGTGGAACATGCATATCTATCTGTGTTTGTATATACAGATTAATTTTTTTCTCTCCTCCTCCTTTTAATATTCTAATTAGGCAAAGTCTGCTGGTCTCAGCTGCCTTTATAGTTGACTTCATTGTCAGTTCTCAGCTGGCCAATAGGGGTAATTTTGCATGGGTGGTTGATTTCTTTCTTTCTATAATGAGCCTAGTTCCCACAGGTTTTGTTTTATGTACACTGCAATATTTCATTGTTCTGTCACTAAATCAGTCATGCTCCACAACTTTCAGTATACATTTCATTTGCACAACTTGTGTCTTTCTTATAGCTTGTTTCCCTATGCTTTAATACATTGGAAAAGAATAACCAATACCTTTACTAAGAAAGGGCAAACAACTCAATATGGACCATATGCTGTACAGGATGTCCCTGTTATAAGTCGCCCTGGTATTCATCCACTCTGCACTAAAATCATTGATGCTTGTAGGAACTGATGCATTATAAGTCTTCCCATTCCTCGCTCTTAAGTCAGGCAAAAAAAAAAAAAAAACCAACAACAAAAAAAAAAAACCGATTTGCACAAGTAGAAGTCAGCCATGGGAAAAAATGTCCCCACTTTAAATTGTTTTGCTTTAAGTCCAAGTTTTTTGGAAGAATATCTTGGACTTATAGCGAGGATGGCCTGTATGAGTCCAGCCGCACAGTTCTGATTATAGGCTTGTGGCAGAGTTAATGTTGCTATAGGAAGCGTAGCTTTTTTCATTTCATGATTTTATTTCCATTGAATTGACATAGTATTTTTGCATTTAATTTATATATAAAGTATTTATATTGTGATCAGTGTTCCCTCTAAGATTTTCCAGCCATGAGCAGAGTGAGTTTTGACTTATGCATCAATATTGAGGTCATATGCGCTGGTTTGGATGTGTGCCACCATGGCACCCAATTTAGTAATGCACACATGTTCCTGGCATCTGGAGCAAAAACCCCTTTCCTCCCCACCATGCAGCATGTCCTTTCCCCTGCCACCGGAGCAAACACCCCTCTCCCACCATATGGCAGGTCCCATTCCCGACCTCAGCCCCCTGAACAGGCTCCAGCCCCCTGAACAGGCCCAGGCCCCTCTGCATTGCAGCCCCAGCCACTAGAGGAGGCCTCTGCTCCCCCACCTGCCACGCAGCTGCGGCAAGTCCCGGTCCCCCTCCCCAGCGGCATCCTCACTACACTGTGTGTGGGTATGTCTACATTACAACATTATTTCGAAATATCTTATTTTGAAATAGTTATTTCAAAATAGCTTATTTCAAAATAACGCGTCTAGACACAAAATACATTTCAAAATAGCATTTTGCTATTTCGAAATAGCATGTCCACACTGATAGGATGTTGAATTGCATTTAAGGCTGGCCAGAACCGGTTCTGACAGGGCATCCGGTAAGAGTTACCTTGTGTGGCTGCTGCCTGAGGCTATCTGAGACCTGTGCTTAAAGGGATCCCCCCCAGAAAGCCGATTCTAAGGTTTCTCTGCTTGCTTGCCTGTTTCGCTGAGGGACAGCAAAGCATTTTTTTCTCTGCGTGCTCTGGTTGCCCTCACTCAGCCACCACAGCACTCTGCAGCATGGAGCCAGAGCCACCCCTGGGCACTCTGGTGCTTCTCCTGGATATGTTGCTGCGAGCCTAGCAGGATGTTCTGCAGGCAGTAACAGTCTCCCTGGTGTGCCCCACTGGGGGCTGGTCCTCTTTCCTCCTTCATGTCCTTCCACTTACCCATCCCTAACCCCCCTTTCTGCTGTCCAATAAAAGACACGTGTTCATTACAACAAAACCTCTTTATTGAACAAAACTGGGTTGGGGGAAGAATGAAACTGAGCTGAGACTGGGGAAAAAAGGTGGGAGAAGGAAGGAGGGACGGTGGAAGAGGGGAGGGGGAAACCTGGGAGGAGGGAACTGGCAGAGGGAGGCAAGGGGAGAAAGGGGGCGGAGAAGCTCAGGGCTCAGGGTTAGGGGTCTCGCCAGCCCAACTGTCTCCCAGCACTGCAGGTGCAGGGACCTCGGCGTCCCTGGGGGTTTGGAGAGGGTGAGGAGGAAGAAACGGGAGAGGGAGAAGGAATGGGAGGAGGAGTGGTAGCTGGGGAGGCAGCAGGGGCTGGAGCAGCAGGAGGCTGCAAGCTCTGCCCCAGGGTCGATGACCACCTGGGGGACACGGACCGTCCCGCCCCCCAATATACGGTTCACGGCATCAAAATAAAGGCAGGGGTCTGGGTCTGCCCCTGGTTGGGAGCTGCCCCCTGTAGCCCTGGCATATGCATGCTGCAGCTCCTTTATTTTCATGCGAACCTGCTCCTGGGTTCGCACGTGGCCTTTGGTGGCCAGGCTGGCAGCTATCCGCCTGTAGACGGTTGTGTTCCTCCGTTTAGTGCGGAGATCATAGACGTTGGAGACATCCCCCCAAACCTGAATTAGGTCCCTGATCTCTGCACAAGGCCAGGCAGGCACCTGCCTTTTCTGGCCCCTGGAAGGCTCCTGGGAGCTGGAAGACTGGTCCTGGGGAGCGGTGGAAGGCTGGCTGGCACTGGGTGCCTGGCTCATGCTTGGGCCACTGGGTCAGGTGCAGTGACTGCTGGCTCTGGGCTGGCAGGCTTGGAGGTA